GTGCATCTCCTAGATGCAAAAGAAATGCACCATGCAAAGAAGGCTACAAACTGGCGGGAAATACTCTTTTGCACGCGGATTCCCTTATTGCAGCAGAAAACTCCACCGTGCAAAGGAGCTGCAATTTAGCGGGAACATAATTTAGCGGTGCCGAAGCACACACAAACAAAAAACCACAACTTTAGGTTGTGACAGGTTACACTGGTTTTAAAGGTAGTAGAAAATTCCAAAGGAACAATGTTACCTTCTGGGTTTTGAGACAGGCTTGAGGACCAAAGACATGCCAGAAGGAGGATCCCTTGAGTCCACAGCATTTTCCCTGCTGGGGGGGCTGGAGGGAAACACAACAGTGACGTTAATGGAAGTGAGGAGAAGCAAACTCATCCAGGGGGGGACAACAAGAACTTGGGGATACAATTCACCAAGGCGCCCCCAGGGGTTACAAGAAATAATGGCCACAAGCTAGCAGAGAGCAGATTTAGACTGGACATTAGGAAGAACTTCTTCCCAGTTCGAGTGGCCAAGGTCTGGAACGGGCTCCCGAGGGAGGTGGTGCTCTCCCCTACCCTGGGGGTCTTCAAGAGGAGGTTGGATAGGCATCTAGCTGGGGTCATCTAGACCCAGCCCTCTTTCCTGCCTAGGCAGGGGGTCAGACTCGATGATCTGTTGAGGTCCCTTCCGACCCTAACATCTATGAATCTATGAATGTTTATCCGGGCGCCTGTCGGTGTAACTAGAAACAATGGCCACAAACTGGAAGAGAGCAAATTTAGAATAGACATCAGGAAAAAATTATTTACAGTGAGGGTCGCTAAAATATGGAATATGCTTCCAAGGGAGGTGGTGCTGTCCCCTTCCTTGAAGGTGTTTAAGAGGTGTTTCTGCAGGCAGAGCAAGATTACCACTAGGTCCATGGCAGTCTACACAGACTCTGGGCACAACCAGTGGGTAGCGAGTTCCCCAAATGTGGGTCAGTGCATGCACACAGGAAGGTGCATGGGAGAAGCCGCTCAACTCCCAAGTGGTGGTGAGATACCAGACCAAGACACTGCCCTCCCCCCTGGCCCAGTGGACCATCCTCTTCCCCTTTCCCTTCCCACCATCCCAGGGAAACCCCGATCCCTCTGCTTCTGGACCTCCAGCAGCCCAGGGCTGGATGCCTCTGCTCTCCCCTCTGCTCCGTGGACAGCTGTAACTGCAGTCAACAGACAGGGAGTGCCTGCAACTGCTGGCTCCACTGAGTGCAGTGAGATTCAGAAGGGCAAATGTAGAGCGCAGGGTGCTGCTATTCAGAACCCAGCATTACCCTGGTGCGAGGCAGGAGCAGGCGGGTGCTGCCCCCAGGCCTCCAACTACATCCACAAACCATCCCTCCTTATCACCCCCCTTCACCCCAGCACCAGCATTCATTCCCTCCCCAGCCCTGTTGCAAGAAGAACCAAAATGCAGCAGTGCCATAGGGCCAAAGCTGCCTTCGAAACCAAGATGTGTGAACGTATGAATGTGTTCTCGCGTTGTCGTTACAAGCCTGGTGTTTTCCTGCCTTGTTTTCCCCCTTGAGTCAGTCATAAGTGGATGCGAATTCCAGCAAGGCCCCAAGCACTGGGCGTGCTAAAACCCAACAGCGTTTCTCCAACATTTCGACTCCTTCTGCTCTGCGTGGAGGGGGAAGCTGTACAGCTCATACTTGCATAGTTTTGCAAGACTGCTGCCTTCTTTCCCCCCCCCCCATTTGCTCCCCTTTTCTGGTTGCAGCTGCGGTGGGGGACCGTGCTTAGGTGTCTGACTGCATCTCTGTGCCGGAGCCAGGAAGAGACAGCATCTTGCAAATCCCAGGGCTCCCTGTGCAGTTCATTGATTTGGTGTTAATCAGGGGCTGTCTGGACACCCTTTCAGGGGAACTTTGCAGACAGGAATATTTGTGGTCCAGCGGTTTGGGTGCTGGCCTGGGACTCTGGATATGCAGGGTCCTTTTCCTGCCTCCTTTGTGTCTATGGGGCTCGGGCACCTCATGCCAACATCCAGATCCCTTTCAGCTGGTGGCTGACACCAAGACAGGGCTCTTCTGGCCAGCCCATGGGAACGTCTCTTGTTGAAGCTGTTCCCCTTCCATATAAATTAAAGATAGGTTGGGCCAGAAAGGAAGAAATAGCAGGACACCACCTTTCCAGTGGGAAGGCCGGGCATTCACTGGGGTGTGCGATTCCCCGCTTGAAGCCCATGCAAGAAGAGAGAGCATCTCCCCCACGCCCTGGGCTGGAGCCCTGATGGCCAGGTGCCAGGGGAGAGTCTCTCACATTAGATTTTCCTGAGGAAGGAGACAGGAGCCTCCCTCTGTGCACGGTGAAGAGCCAAGGGGTCTCTGCTGGATGGAGTTGGTGCCCCGTAACTCCCACCCACTTGCTGAGGTGGCTCCTTCCCCAGTGCCAAGACCCTGCGGTTTGGGGCATGGGGCAAAGGGAACCCCTTTGCTCCCTTGCCCTGGACTGCTGAGTGTGAGCTCACCCTGAGGGTCTTGTGCAGTCGCCCAAGGGCTGCTCTACATGGTACCCACAGGGGTCCCCTTCACAGACCCAGGGAGGCTGTGGCCCCCAGGGACTGCCCTGCTGCATGCATGCACCGTTACCCGAGGTGTGGGGGGTCAGATGGCTGTCGAAGGAAGGCAGCCCCATCCCGGTCCTCAGGGCCCAGCCACATGCTGGAGCACTCGGCAGCCAAGGAAGATGCCAAAAGCAGGTGGCCATTATGGCTACCCTACCCGGGGCACCCCCTCCTCCCGCAGACATGGCAGCAGCATGGCTGTGCTGTTCTCCCCCTCCCTGTAGCCAGCAGCCGGGGCCCAGGACAGCAGCTCCCAAGACCTCATCTGCTCCACTGGACCCTCCACCCTCCTCTACACCCCCCTGGACAGCACGGGTAAGTCCTGGGTTACTCCAGCTATTCTCTCGGGCTTTGTGTATTGGCAGGTCTGCTTTCCCCCCTAGCTTCCCCCACAAGCACTGCTAGACACCAGGACCATCACAGTCTCTCCGGGGATTTTAATTGCCATTCACAGCTTCGTCTTTGAAAGCAGACTCTCCCAAGCCAGACAAGCATCGTCTCTTTGGAGCAGCCTCTCTTCCTAGGATGACCCCACCCTGCAATTTTCCTGCTGGCCACCCTGCACAGAAGAGGACAAGAATTGATCAATGGAGATTGGACCTGGACTTTGGCTCTGCACAAAGAGCCCCGTCCTCCTCCATGAGCCAGGCAGATTTTCAGTGCAATGGGTTCACATTCATGGGAGCTCCTCCTCTCTTTCACAGCTTGGTGCTCGTCAGGGCTGTGCCCACTGGGAGTTGCACTGTGCATGCTCCTTCAGGCCTGTAAAAGAAAAGGTAAGCATAAGAGATGTTGCATTGGTTCCCTTTACAGCCTCTTTGGTGGAGGCAGTGAGGGTCTGCACAACCCAGGGTTGCAGCTGGGCTTGGGAAAATAAATGATCAGCCAAGCTACCCTATTGCTGCCCCTCTGGAAAGGGAGCCCCTGCACTGTCCTCCTTAAGTGTCTGGGACCAGAAGCCCAAATCCTGCTGGGCTGACTGAATAAAAAGTCAAAGGTTAAGGTCGTGTTGGAGTGATGGTGTAGCCACGATGGTTTGGGGAATACATGAGGGGCAAGGATTTTTGTGGGTGGCATCTTTTATTAGACCAACTGCAAGGTTGGGAGGTTGAGACCGACCGAGCCACTTGCGTGATGAAGCTTTGAGCGCGATGCAGGGGGGACCGGAGGGGCTGCTGGAGCCGGGAGGGGACAGGGCAGGCATTGTGGTCCCTGCAATGTAAAATCTCCCGACTGCCGAGGGGCTGCTCACACCCTTTGGGCAAGTCAAGTGGAAGGAAAGTTCTTACCGGGGCCATTGGCACACGTGGCTTTTTTCTCCCCTGCAAAGCAAACGGATGGGATTAAACAGCTGTCGGCCACAGAGAGATTCACCACCTTTGCAAGGCTGGGGGTTGCGTGTGGATGCCTGACTCTGGACTCCCAAAACCAGCTCTCTATTTCCAGCTTAGCCACGGCCGGAGATCTCACGGAGGCCAGAGGAAATGCTACGAGGACAGGCTGAAGGCAGACCTCAAGGAAAGGGTTGCTGAAATCAAGAGCTGCCAGCTGACTCTGATGGTGCTGCCACCTCAACCAAGTGTCAGCCCTTTTCAAGGCAAAGCATCTTGCCCTCGAAGTGGGGCAGAGAGAGCGGAGGAAGGAAAAGGGGAGGAATCTCAGCCTGCAGCCTGCTCGCCCCTGTGCAAAGACCTGCAACGTCTGCCGACGGGTCTGTGATTGGACTCTTCAGTCTCCACCGGACCCGTCCATGAGCCGTGGTAGTGATCATCCTTGGACTGAGGGATGGCCGGCAACAGGGAGATCCTTCAGGCTCCCTCCCTGGAGCCTGCTGGGAAGATGGAGAGTCTCACCAGGCAGCGCTGTGAGCTCGGCAAGCCTGGCTCCAGTTTGCAAAAGGGAATGAACCAGGGTCCCCTCCCCTGCTCCCCTGCTGCCAGCACAGCCACAGTCACATCAGGCCATTGGGACAGATGCTCCCGGGGCTCTGCCCATCAGTAATATGGACTGCGAGGCCTGGTGGTCTGGCTTCCTGACACCCACCATGTGAGTCTGTCCTAAATCCCGGGTGTCCCCTGCTCCCCCCTCCCCGAGGCAGCCTGGGCACAGGTCCCAGCCCGCCAGGCACTCACCACCCAGGTAGGCGCAGTTGAAGTGGCTGCAGGTGCGGTTGGTGCTGTGCAACACGAAGACGCTGCTGTCTCCCTGCTGGGTGACTTTGGACACGGCGAACACCTCGCTGGGGGGGATCAGCACCTCCTTCTCAAAGCCCAAGAAGGAGAGCTTCTCGATGTGGGCCCCGAAGCAGGAGCGCAGCATGAAGAACGTGGTGCTGCCATAGCCCTGCGAGACCGCGGCGTCCAGGGACGAGGAGGTGAACTGTCCGAACCGGACCGGGCCTGCCTTGTGCAGCTTGAAGCGGATGGAGCGGACCCCCCGGTAGAGCTGGTTGCGGTACATGCGCCCGCAGTCCTCCCGCAGCAGCTGCAAGGCTCTGCTCAGGTAATAGTGCAGGGCCTTGAAGGGGAAGGTGTGCAGGTAGGTGCCTCGGGATTTACCAGCCTCTCCCACAGCCTCGTTGAACTCTTTGTAAAGCTGCCGAGTTAAATGGAGCTTCTTGTACAGGTCGTTGGAGGAGTCGGTGTAGACCAGAATGGCGATGCCGTGCGCATCCTGAAAGCCCACAGGTAGACTCAGCCCTTTCTTCTTCTCGACCCAGACAGCCGACAGGTTTGTCCACATCCCGTTCAGCAGCGGGTGTCTGGCTCTTTCCTTCTCCAGCAGCCACGGAGCCACAGCTACCTCCATTTCCTCCGTGCACCCGACGTACTGGTCATCAAAAGAGTCGGATGCCATCCCCAGAGGCCTGGAGTCATGGCATTGCACCTGGAAGGGAGAAACGGGGATGCCAGCCAGGTCCTCAGGGACCAAGGGAGCCCTGTGATGTGGATGCTCCCAGGAGCAGTGTCCTTGGGACCGTGCAGGGATAGGGCAGGGTGCTGGGTCCCCTGAGCTGCATCACTGTGGGCAGGATGGAGCCTGGTCACCACAGGCCCAAAGCACCGGCACAGCAAACCACACAGCTCTGGGGCAGCTCGCTGGGGGGCTGGTCTGGAGATAGTCCCATGAGAGCAAGGGATGCAGCACCCCACGGGAAGGTCCAGCCCCATTTACCCCTGCCATGGCACCCGACCTTGTCTCCTCTCTACCACTCTGGGGTCTCAGGCCCATGGAGGGGGCTGAAGGGGTGGCCTGTGTGGGGAGGGGATAATTGCCCACTCCTCCTCTCCCCCACAGGCACCAGGACCCCCTGGCCATGGGGTTGCATTGGGATGAAGTGTCACTGCAGCACAGGCTCCACCTTCTTGCCCCAGGGAGCTCCCTGCTGGTGCAGGATGGTTTAAGATTTACAGGGCTTGGGAGGGGAGGGCCGGGAATGGCTTTTGTGCCATATTTCGGGGTGTGGAGCAAAGGAGAAGTGGTCATTGTGGAGCCCTGCCCACTCTCATCATGCAGCTGTGACTTCCTGCAGGGTCCACGTCTTCCAGGAACATGAGTTGTCCTGGCTGGAGGGAGTCTGGTACCTGGGAGGGGCTCAGCCAGGTCTGTGCCCACAGGAAAGTCAGGGTGAGGGCCAGGGGCCTCATCTCCATCACCCGGTGCACCTGCAGGAGAAGGGAAGGCCAGCAGTGATGTCGCGTCCCCATTGTGACGGCTCTGCTGCTGTCTCACAACAGCAAAGGCTGCGGCTGCTGCAAAGCCCCTGCTCCTCCGTACTGGGGGGAGCTTTCTCTGTGCTGCGGGGGACTCCCTCTTCTGGGAGTGACCTCTCTAAGCCCACCCAGACTCCCTTCATTGCCCCAGGGCTGCGCTGGCTGAAAAAAACCAGAAAGACATGCTGTGAAGGTGGTGTCCAACTTACAAATGGTCTGAGGCTTCTTGGTTATTTCTGTCTTCAAACACATTCTCCCATAAGCTCCTCTCTTGTGTTTGCTGCACACATGTATACACGTACCCCCTGATTTAACCCTGATTTCACAGGTGCTGTCCCCTGGATGCTGCACCGAGCACAGGGTCTAGCTCCTGCCCTCCTGGCTGGGAGGCAAAGCTTGGAAATCCAGGCTGTGAGCCGGGGCCTGAGGAGCCAGCTTTTTCCATGCCAGCCACGGGTCCACCCTGAGAGGTTCATTTTCTGGGGTCGTCGGGCCCTTTCATGACAGCCAGGCTTTGGTGCACGTGGCCAACCTGGGAGGCTGAGAGGTCTAGGACAGCAGCCCCCATCAAACCCCTCTGTGTTAGCAGACCTAGTAGTACTATGTTAGCAAACATAGTAATATGTTCACAAAGCACAAATTGACTGGCCAGACCATGCTGAACGCTTACAGCATACAGCAGAAACCGCTCCAGATTTGGAAGCAGCAAAGGTTATCGGATACTACGATCATAGCGGCGGCAGGCGGAGCCACACTTATGCTTTCTAAGAGAGGCTGAAGAGAGTCAGCACCAAATCTGCATAGAAATATGTGGCCCGGGGCGTTCTGGCCCTAGCCAAGCCCAAGCTCTGGGGAGCACAGCTGTGCATGTGGCAGGGGATTTCCCCAGCTCCCGGCAGCTTTGCTCTCAGGTCTGTGCATTCAGACTGACCCCGCCCCCGCCTCCCCGTGCTGGCCGTGCCCCCTTCCCTGCTTCGCCTGCTTGCAAGAGACCCTCATAGAAACACCAGGAAGTGACCCCCCAGATACAGCACCCAGCGTGACTTTTCTGAGTTTTCGCTGTCCCTGTGGACCGAGACCTTTGGGAACATGAAAACAGAGAGGGGCTTGATGGGGGCTGCTGTCCCAGACCTCTGAGCCTCCCAGGTCGGGAAGCAGCAGACACAAGCAGCTGCCAGGAGAAGAGAGGGAACCATTGCACGGTTGCATCCGGGTGCAGTCTTCTGCAGAAGTGCAGCAAGCGCCTGGACCCTGTCACTGCCTCTGCATTGAAGGCAGTGCCTGCACTCACCTTTGGGGCACCCAGGGGCAAAGCCAGGCCGGAGAGATGGGCCCGTTGGGCAGGCTGGTGCACACAATGGCAGCGATGAGGGAGGTTCAGTCAGAACATAACAGCCCGGTGAACTTGGCTTGTACTTTCATTTTTGTCCTGTGCTTTCACTTTCGCCTGCCAGGGTGCACCTCCCTCTTCCCCCAGCAGCTGCGGCAGGGAAGTGAAGAGCAGCTGCAGGATTGCACCTGTGCTCAGTGCACAGGGCCAGCCCACCCAAGCACCGAGGAGCCCACGGGGAGGACCGATGGCCACGTGCAGACAGACCCAGCCAGGCTGTGCTGTAGCCTCAGGATCGGGGTCAGCTCCAGCTCCCCAGCTACATTGCGAGAGGGACCGGAGCTGGGCTGGATGGCAGTGCACACATGGAGGGCTCTCTGGATCCCTGCCCTCTTGCTTGTGTATACAGGAGCACAGCAGCAGTTTCCAGCTCCAGGACCCTCAGCCAGGGGCGAATTCTGCAGGCCCCACAGATCCCCCCCTGGCTGGGAAGTGACGCTTTGGGGTCCCAGGGGATGTCGGCAGGTGCAGCCTGGCAATGGGGAGTCCCAGGGGGGCAGGGGCTCAGCGGGCATCGGCCCTCAGTGACCTCCTCTGACCACATCCCTGCTTGAGCTATTCCAAGGAGCCACTGAGATGTCCTGTCTTTAGGGGCCCAGCATCCCTCTAGGGCCTGCGTTGTGGTCTTGCTCCTGCTTGTCCCCAGGACGTGTTCAGCCCCGGTGGAGTGAGGGCTCCCACAAGAGCAGCTTCTATTCCTTGCAAGTCTAGAGCTGGTCGGCCTTCCCCCATCCCTCCTGTTCATGGAGCACGTCCACGTGCTTGTCTGCACAACCATCACCAATAAGATATCGTGCTGCACACCTTTGTTCTCCTGCCCTTAGCCACTTGTTATCCAACGGCTCTCTCTCCTCACCGGTGCAGCTGTCTGTTGCCATGTGGCAACCTCCTCGGTTTGCAGCACAAGCTGGCGTCATGGGTGAAAACAGCCAGAGCTGTTTGATGCCCAGCTGTGGGGGATAACCAGCAAAGCTGGTAGGAGCTGCTGCCTTGACCCAGGTCTGCCCAAGGGAGTCAGGCATCTAGGGGACAGGTTGTAGGTCATGCCCTCAGCTTGTCCCTTGGCCTTGAAGGCATTAAGCAGCCAGGATTTGAGCAGCAAGGCAAGGGAGGTTGGGATGGAGATGAGATCTCCCGTCACCACCCCGCAGCGAGCACTGAGCTCAGTGGCCATGCCTGCCCCACGGCAGCAGATCATAGTGTTGAGATGAGCCCTATCCATGCTCCTTAAGCCCAAAGTGATGTGACAGGGATCCCCCTAGCATCCTGCTCCAGACCTAGGTTTCCCACCTGCTCAAGGCCCCTGGGCTGCCTGTCCCCCTCCCTCCTGGGGGTGACTTTCATGAGGTCTGAGCTCTGCAGCACTGCTGCAGCACAGACACATCCGTGGCCTCCGTGTCAGATTGTGGGCAGGAAATGTCTCTGCGCTGAGTGGAACGGGACGAGCTCTGACAGCACAGAGCTGGGACCGGTTTGCAAACTAGGATCGTCCAGCAGCATGGCTGGAGCAGGGCTCTGGCCACTGCTAGCTCAGCCCTTCCCAACCTTGTTAGGTCGAGACCGCCCTTGGGAAATGCCAGATCTTAGTTGTCACTGCTTTTTTGATGGCAGAAATATAACAGAGCCATTCTCCCATGGCACAGACTCAGAAAGACCAGAGCAGCACAGAAGGCTGCTATCACTCTGGATTCCTACGTGGGTTTATGTTTTCACACCTACCAGTGCTAACGTTGCCCTTGAATGGATCTCAAGGTTTAGCAGCCCGAGCTCTCTGACACCTGAAATGCTGTGACCATGATGCCTGGTCAGACCCTGTGGCAAAATACCATCTCCGTCTTTACCCAAACTCTGCTATCTGACCATTTGGTTACCATGGGCACTGCAGAGAGCAGACATCCCATGGGCTCCAGGTAACCCTGAATTGTAACCTGAGCTGGATATATTCCTGAGGGAGCGGGTAAACCTACTCCCTCTGCCTACATGACTGGCCTCACACACCTGGGTGGGGGGTTTAAGCTCCCTATTTTTCTAAGCAATGCCAATATGACTGGGATGGGTCTAAAGACCCTGCCAGTCTACCCAGCAACCAGTGATGCATTTCGAATTGGCTGGCTGGCAGCCAACAGTTGCTGGCCTCCATTGGACCAGGTAAATGAGGTCATAAGGGCTATATAAGTGAAGGACTGCCCAGGAGGAGGGGCAGTAGCCACGTTGAAAAAACTCAGAGAGAAGCTGGACCATCTGAAACTTGCTCTCTCTCTTGAAACTCATGATCAATGAGAACCTCCCGCCCTCCAGGGGGAACCCCCCCCTGCCTCTGGATGATACTCGAGATCTAACTAGATACATAGCTTGCAGCAACTCAGATGTATGATCAAAGGCTACCATGCCACTTTGCTCTAAGGGATTTCTCTGGTTTTGCTCTACCCTGTACCCTATTCCAAACTTACTCCTTTTAACCAATAAAGTTCTCCTTTGTACTTAGCATGAGAAACTTATTGGGAGAGGGTCTAGATTATGCTTTGGGGGTCCCCTTGGTTCAGCTGACTAAGGGAGACCACTATTTGTATTTCAGACTGTGGGAAGCACCCCAAGTTCTTGCAGGTGGTCAAGTACCCTCAAGGGCTAATAGGCCTGTGTTTCCCAGAGGGCACAGGTCCAGGATCAGTCCAGACTCTGGGTGGTGATGGTGTTACCCCCAGGCTAGTGGGTGTGCTCTGGGAAGGGGGTTGGCCAGACGTGAGGCACCTCCAGGGAGGCTCTCGGAGCTGGAAAGTGGTCAGGTGCAGTGAGGTGGGTGGCTCAGCACAGGAGCATTCCCTACTGGCCCTCCACAGACCCCATCTCCCCTCTCATAATGGGCTCTGCCTCAACCCAGTGTAATCAGTGGGTGCATCTATATGAGATGCTAACTTTTCAGTAGCTTAATAAGACTGCAGATTAGTGTGCACGGCAAAACCCATGCTAATAAGCTACTGCACAGTGTTATGAGGCTACTGCACAGCTAGTGTCACTAAAAAGCCATGTGCCTGTGCTGCTGTGCAGTAGCACCATTTACTGCGCATTGATTTAGTACTTGGTTATACAAGTACTAAATTTAATGTGCAGTAACTGTGGCACATTAATGAAAGTGTAGTTGCACCCAGTGTGTGCCTCAGAGACAAGCCTGGCATTTGCATGTAGGGGGAGGTACAGTAGAGGACCCTGGAACCAGGCCCTCGCTGCATACTTTACCCCAGACTGCTATTGCTCATTAGTCTGTAGTCACAACCCTCAGGCCGCTTCCATGTCTGACTCTGCTCACACAAGTATCCCTCTTCATGCTTCTGCCATCACTGCTGTGCAGACTCACCTCTCTGGCCCGCTTCTCCGTCATGCAATGGACCCCAGCTGTTGTCACAGCTCTACCCGCCCAGCTCCCAGCCTTCACAGCTGCAGAGGGTGGGGTCTTCAGAGCAGCTCTAAAGCATCCCTAGCCTTCCTGCCTGGCCTGCTGCTCTCCAGGTGCCCTGGCCTCCATCTCTCCACCCACCCCTCTCATGCCAGGCCTCTAAAGCCTCTGCTTCCTTGCTGGCTGGCTAGGTGGATCTACACGAGATGCTAAATGCACCAGAGCCCAATATGCTACTGTGCAGTAGTAGTAGGCTGCTGCACAACAAGCATCACCAAAAACACGTATGCCAGCGCTACTGCATAGTAGCCTGAGTTACTGTGCATCCATTTAGTTCTTGGTTATTCAAGTACTAAACCTAATGCGCAGTAACTATGGCACATTAATGAATGTTTTGACATGCCCACTGACATGCTGCCACTGTCTGAATTCAGCCTCAGTAGAACTGCTGTTGTTGGGATTTTCCTTAATTGTGCATTGACTCAGCTAACGCATGTGTGGCAGGCCCATCAGGGGAGCAAGATCGGCCTTCTGCCATCCCTGACAGAGGATGCACCAGTACTCTCAGGGGTGGGGTGCACATGCACACATCACCACTGATCCTGTAATACACCCTTGGCAAACGTTATAGGGTTAGGTGTCCACACACACACCCATGCAGGTTAGGGCTTCTGTTTTTCATGTCAACACCCTTAAGGGTCTGGACTCCAGGCACTCTGAAAATCCCCTGGAGGATCCTTGGAGAGCCAAATTCCCAACAGCATGGGCAAAGGATAGCCTGGATGTCACAGGCCAGCTGGGCACTGTGAGTGTACCAATTTTATCACAGGCCAACTGGGCTATTTGATTCAGTTTTGGATTGAGGAGGCAAAGCTGGGAGTGGAATAAAGGCAAATTTATTATAGCTTACACACACACAACAGTTAACAGAAAGATAAATGCGATAAGCAGATAAGGCAGTATAAAAGAGCTAATAGTAAATAATAACAACAGATAGTAATAACAGATAGATAGATAGATCAATCTGTCACAGGCCAATTGGGCACTGTGAGGGTATTAGCCACACTGGGCTGTTCAAAACAACAAATAGACAGACATGGG